GTACATGTATTGCTCCTTTCCGTGTTCATATCTTGTTCCCCACTTCTCACTTTTGTCACCAGCTTATCTTTGTGCCGTTTAGAGTATAGAAGGTGCAGGCTATTGGGTCTGCAGGTAAGAAGTTGCCATGCTGCTAGGAAGTCGTGCTTTCTGTTTCCAGCTGTTTACCTACTTCCTGGGAAAAGTAGTAGCTCTCTGTAGCATCATGGAGTTTGGAACCAAATTTTTGCCATTAAAAACTGGCATTGTATTGAACCATTCATTGACAAATCAATCAAAATAAAAAATTTTTACTTTTACAACCTATATCCTGGATGTTTTCTTCATTGTTAACAAGTTTTCATGCTATTTTAGAATATAAACTTTTTAAAATGTACCACATTTACAGAATGCACTCTTGATAAACATTTAGAAGACCCTTTCCCCCAAAAAAGTTTTATAAAACATGATTAGAGGCTACTGTGGGGGGAAATGCTTCATGACCAAACAAATTAAGGGATTAATTACTGGGTTAAATAAACTTTCGGTATTTCTTTACTACAGGACTGTTCAGTCCTTTATATGCAGGTGTGTTTTCTGATGCGCCAAGAACGTTGGCAATAGATATAAAATGCAGTTTTCCAACTCATTTAATTGTGGAAACTTCTTTCCATGGAATTACTTATAGCATTTGTGTTCTACAGCAAATGCTGTGAGTTTAGGGCAGGGGTCCTCAAACTTTTTAAACGGGGGACCAGTTCACTGTCCCTCAGACAGTTGGAGGGCCGGACTATAGTTTTAAAAAAAACTATGAACAAATTCCTATGCACACTGCATATATCTTATTTTGAAGTAAAAAAAACAAAATGGGAACAAATACAATATTTGTATTTGCATGTGGCCTGTGGGCTGTAGTTTGAGGACCCCTAGTTTAGGGGAAGGAAAAAAAAGCTCCTGATTCGTAGTTAAAACTTTACAAGACACTAAAATACACAAGTGTAACTGTAAGTCATACTTCTTCACCCAAATGCTCTAAGCAAAGTCTGTCTTTCCTGGTCTCCAGACCCAGCACAGGCTGCCACTGTCACCTGACCTCAGGTCAAACGTTAAAACCTGGTGGGAAGCATTAGGGTTGCACCCTGAACCCAGACAGCTGTCCTAGACTCATTGAGTGACCTTTCTGCCTGCATTTTAGAATACAGCTGTGAGTGTAACATACAAATTAACTGCATTCACTAAAATTAATTACTCCACCACCATCCATAAATTCAGAACTAATCCTGGAGCAAAGCTTGTGTAGATGAGGAAAGGGGAGATATTTTGCAAAGATGTTGTTAGCAATAATCAACTACACCCTCTATCTCCAAGGTGTTGCCAAATGTTCTCACTGGAAACCAGGACTGCTCCCCTGGACGGGTAGCTCAATTGCTTGGAGAATCATCTCCATACGCCAAGGTTGTGGGTTTGATCCCTAGTCAGGACACGTGCAAGAATCAACCAATGGACGCATAAATTAAGTGGAACAAAAAAATCAATATTTCCCCCTCTCCCTTCTCTCTGAAATCAATTTTAAAACAACTAGTATTGCTACTTGTCTACCTATGGATAATAATAGAAACTTCAAGAAGTGAAGATATTGATCACCTGTTTGCATTTTTTAAGAGTGGCTTTAAAAGTAACTGAAAAAAATTCTAGGTAATAATGTTTTCCCCGCAAAGTCCACCCTGGGTGTGATAGGTGATTCAGTTAAGAGTCATTATAAAACTAACACAGGACAGGGTTGGGAATTTCAAAGTAGACATTAGCAAGTGTCAGGAGGAAGAACTAGGCTAGTAGTCCAGAGCTTGAAGGGAGAGCATGGGTTTGGACTGAGTCTCTCGGTGCTTTGGAAGCGCTGGGTGTACAGCCCAGTCCACTAGGATGAAATGAGGGGCAGCAGGTCAATACTGGGACTTTGTTAATCTGGTACTGAACACTTTTTAAAAGCTATTAGCCATTTACAGAAGGTAACACACCGCCATGGTTCAGCTCTACCTAATGAAGACAGCAGGGCCCAATAACTAAAGTACACATGGGCCCTGCATTTACCTAAGCATGACGTGCTTTACACAGTGCAGCCCTAGGAATCTATGCCCTGCATTGCTTTATCCAATACCATATGGAAAAAGTCTAGGCCAGTTTGCCTAACCTGGCTTTTTATTAAAAAGGGTTATTATGTGTTTGCTTAAGGCTGAAATCAAACATTTGGGGTGTCCTGAAAAGATCAAAAAAATCCAGAAGCTTAGGTCTAATCCATGACTATTAGTAACTTAACGGACCTTAAGTTGACTGAAGGGGGGGAAAAAAACAACCTATTTTGAAGATCCAAACTTCAGCCAATTCAGGTGATAAATAATGTTGATTTCAATTAATATGAATAGGTACACAGACTAGCAGACCAGAGTTCAAATCCTGATTCCCATTAATCGGCTCTGTGTAATCTAATGTCTGTGCCTCAGTTTCCTGAGAAAAGTATTAGCACCTACCCCACAAGATAGTTCTGAGAACTGAGAAATCGCACCTAGAATTAAAAGTTATATAAGGTTGTGGCAAATAGTACAGGGAATGGCTAATGGTATTACGCCATTTTAGTTGCTGCTTTTCTCTCTAAGACTCCATATGGAAGGTTCTTGAGCACTCACGCTCTCTGATGCACCGTGCTCTGTGGGAACTTCCCTGGAGCGGGTGGACCATAAAGTAGTAGATGTTCAAGCCAACATTACTGCCATTTAATCATTGGAATGTTCACCCCCCACAGAAGTTCACAAATCAAACGTCCAAGTCTGAACTGAATCATTTACACTTGAAAAAAAGAAAGTGATATGTTTAGTTCCTAAAGGACATAGTTTAAAAATTAGATACCCATGACTTAAGAAACTAGAGTTTCGTTTAGATGGTGTGTACAACTTCTAGAGAATTTTTAGCTGTTTAGAGTTGCCTTACCTTCTATAATGGGAAGAATCAAACTCCATCAAGGAAATGGGAATACTTACCAGGGACAGGAAAATGGTGTATTATAAGATATTTATCAAGAAATTCAAACCGATCTCATAAGATGTTCTAGAAATTACAATTCTGCAAGTGGACTGGAAGGCCTGATGTGACTGTGTATGTGGAACATACGCCTAAGTGGGATATGCATGAAACACACTGACATCTGAAGGCTAAGATTGTTACTCATTTGTATACTTGCTGATTGACTTCTGGATGAACCCCGTTATTCCTCTTATCAAATGTGAAAACCTATAATAAAGTTCTTTATGAGAACAATTAGAGATTAACTTTTCAAAAGAGCAATTTTAGCAAACTAGGTTATTAGTGATCTCTCCTGACCAATTAGAATAGTCCTTTTCTATTTCTTGCTGATTTCATTCACAATAAACAAAACTATAAGACATGAATTATTTGTAACTTAGAGCAGAAGGGGAAAATTTCTAGACTGTATATACTAAATATATGAAAAATGAAAAATCAAGTGTGGTTGTTAAAATGTGAATTCAATGTTGTAGATTGAGGCCTAGAGAATTACCGGGAATATGTTAGAAGTCTGGTGATTTACCTAAATCCTAATACACATAGGAAACTTTGAAAAATTCAAAAGAAAATACGCAAGGCTTGGTTCAACTTTATCTTCAAAGAGAACTTCCATAACTGCACGATTATTCTCACTGAATAGAAAGCCCCATTTCAAACCTAGAAGTCATTTCTCTGTGGGTATTAGGGGATGGTGGGTCAACTCTGTCTCAAAGCAGAAACAGTGGTACAGAGAAATAAGATCAGGGGATAACCATTTAGCAAAAAACAAATCTGTTTCTGAAGAGAAATACTCGGCAGCAATTTCCACTGAAATTATAAAACATCTCTAAATGCTGATCATTATACAGAAAGCCCAGGCTCATTTCATGTATTCTATTATATAGCATCTTAATTGTGCACAGCCTGTGGTTTTAGGGTTTTTGTTGTTCCTAATGATCACTAAAACAGAATAAAGAATTTAAAAAGCAAAGCCATCTTGCAGAATGTAGCTTCAGGTTTAAGTAATCACTGCTCTCTCTCTCTCTCTCTCTCCCTCTCTCCTGTTTTGCTGTATTTTGATGAGCGCCAACATTCTAATTGCAGTCCAGCATCTCTTGTTTGGCAGGCAGTGCCAATCACCCCC